GGGGGGGGGGGGGGGGGGGGGGGCGTACTCTTATGCTTTGCATGCCTTAGCGGTTAGACCATTGACCACGCGTCCTCGAGAGGACGGAGCATTGTTCCCACAGGACCGATCACCGATGGCCAATCGTTCCTTCCTACTTTGCCAAAGGTGGCTCAAAAATGTCTTCCCTAGTCTGTCTATCCTACCGATGTCACTTCCCGCCTTTTCAAACCACTTTCTACTCCCCAGTACCGCTACCGTCCTCTCCTCTCTATTCCATGCCTCAAACATCTCCCTGTACGTCCCTTGTATTCTTCCCAGCTCAGCCATGTACACTTCCCTCTCCTTTTCGTACCACGGACATTCCGCGACTACATGAACACTGTCTTCGCATTCGAAGCCGCAATCGCATTTGAACTTGTCGTCTTCGTCGTCTACCGTCCTATGTCTTCGTCGACGTTCGCGAAGGCCTATGTCCCCGGTCCTGAATTTGACCTTAAGCTTTGTCCCTGCATCCATTGGTCCATGTAGGTAATCCTTGAACCCTATTCCTTCTTTCAACATTCCGTACACTTCTAGACCCTCCTTATCCTTGGGTTCTTTCCTTAGATTCTGTTCTTCTCTGTCGGCACAAGCAACAGATATCTTCTTCTTGAACCCCTGTAGACCCTCCGTTTCCAGCGTTTCATCTTCGTCGATGTCCAATCCCTTCCATACGTTCTCTACAACCTTGACCCATTCCGTGGGTTGTCTACCCCTCTTTTTGTTTGCCCACTTCGCCTCCCATACTATTCTCGGCAACCTCTCCTCTCCCATCCCGCACATGCGGTACTGCCATGTCAGCTTCCTTACGTCTCTTCCCGACCGTAGGGATTGGATCCCCAATTCTGCCCTGACTGCTGCATTACTTGTGCGCTTGGAGCTATCCTAGGATGATTTTCGCTGCTTTCATCTGCGCCGCCTCGAGTTCTTTCACTACTCTTCTTATTTCCTTCCCATACTTCTCCGGCGTACTCCAGCGGCGGTACGATTACGCTCTTCAAAACCGTCAATTTGATGCGTGTATCAAGGTGCCGGTTTGCGAGTATTGGGTGCAGCTTCCCTGCTCGTGCTTTGCCCTTTTCCGCTACCTTGGACATGTGTGCATTCCACGAGCAATCTTTTGCGATCTCTACTCCGAGGTATGTGTGCTGGTCCACTACTGCAATCTCCTCGATCCCCCACTTCCATCTATGTTCTACTGGTTCCTCCCTGCCCTCGTTGCATACCATGACGGCACTCTTCGTAACGTTGGCAGACAAAAGGGGGGGGGGATACTCAATTCATTGGCTACCATCCTTCGTAAAAAATAGGATGGTGGTCCCTGAAGCGTGGCGGTTGCAATGGTGCCACCCGCACGGTACAATGCAGGTGATATCTCGTGAAGGAACGACCGACCACCGGTGATCGGTCCTGTGGGAACAATACTCCGTCCTCTCGAGGGCGCGTGGTTAATGGTCTAACCGCTAAGGCATGTAACACGTAAGAGTAAGCCCCCCCCCCGCCTGGTGTTTGCCATCGGGGTTGGGTTTTCGTCCCTTGGCAACGACGTTGTAAAGCAGGCCGATCGCTTCGTGAGGTCGACAACCAGGTTACCGCTTGTTTTTTTTTTCCGTTGTTTTTTTTCTGCGGTAACCATAATGGTGGTCGAGTAGATCATGTTGTGCGGGGTCGAGAACCCTCACTCCGCGCAAGGGGGATGATCGCACCATATTGTGTCGGGATGGTCAAGTACCCTCGAGGCAGTTACACAGTGCATATAACTGTCTCTTGAAGTGGAAGCACCAGAAAATAAATGAAGTCATTCGCAGCTTTCACCCTTTGCAAGGAAGTAAGCACAAGCTGCCGAACACCCTTAGCAGGATGCAGCGCACCCTCCATGCGACTCGCGAAATACCTCACGGCGCTTCGCGCTTGGTGATGCGAGGTCAATGGTCAAAACGACTACGGCATGCACTTCTATGAGTACCCCCCCCCCCCCCCCCCCCCCGGGGGGGGGAGGGGGCCTTTCCAACATAAGGATAACATGGCACACCAAACCCGGGGGTTCCCCCTCACAATTTGCACAATTTTTTTGGGCGAAATAGATCCCGTAGGTCAGGAAAAGGGGGTTAGGGAAGGGGAATCGTTGTCAAAAAAAATGACGGTTGTCTACCCCCCTACTACCGCCAAAAGCGGGGGCCCCCCTCTTTGATGTTGCCCCCCCCCATCCCCCAATGAGGGCCCGAACATTTGCCCCCCAATGTGTCAAAAATGGTGGAACGGGTGGGCCCCCCCTCCCCCCCCCCGGGGGGCCCCCGGCCACCCCACCGGGAATTCGGGGAACCCTGGGGGCCCCCGTTCCGAAAACCCCCCCAAAACAAAGAACGGCCCCCCGAAGGGGGGGCCGGG